CATTTATTGCTTGCAAACCAATGATGGTAAGATGATGTCATGGGGTAGGACTGGATAAGTCTGACTTCTTCCTACTCCATTCAAGCATGTACTAGGTATAAGCACATTGATATTGGATTGTGTGTAAAAATGTGTGTTGTTATATCAACTGTTTTATATGCTTGAAAGAATAAATCAAATCAAATCAAAAATCAAAAATCAAATCAAGATGAGAGGGTCTGATCAAACATCAACTTTTTTTTTTTTTACTGCTAAGATGCACTTTGTGAGCACGGACAATAATATCTTTGAGAAAATTATTGGACTGATTGCATGTCTGTCTTAGAAACAGGATATTATGGCAAACAGAAAACCCAGCATTAAAAGTAAATTAGTTTGAGACATTCCTTCAGTGTTTCCTGTGAGCCTCTACTCTAAGCACAGAAGTGGGGTGGCTGTGGCTTACGAGGTAGGGCAGTCGTCTTCTAACCAGCAAGTTGGTGGTTCGACTCCCGTCTCCCCGCATGCCTAAGTGTCCCTGAGCAAGACACTGAACCCCAAATTGCTCCCGGTGGTTCGACTGGCGCCAGTGTGCGGCAGCCTCTCGTCATCGGTGTGTGAATGTGTGTGTGAATGGGTGAATGGTGTATAATCTCCTGTAAAGCGCTTTGGCCAGTGTAACACACTGTGAGAAAGCGCTATATAAAATACAGTCCATTTACCATTTACCATTTAGAAGTGATACCATAATTAAAATGCATAAACCCTAAGATTACAGTGTAATATATCCATAGGGCACTGCCTCGCCTGGCAAACCTACAGTAAATACAACTTTTTGACAGGTGCCAGCGTACTCGCTGAATGAGGCCATACACAATCTATTAAATACTTTCTGGAAAAGAATTTTAGAAAATGTTATTTTCATTTTGGCATGTTTTCAGTGGAAACTGGTTCCAAACACTGGCTGTGACCATTCATCTTTTCACATCACAGTCACTTTTAGACAGAAACATTTTGTTGTTGTCTTTGTACAGATACAAAATCCTTCAAGAGCACTAGGTAATTTTTGTTCTTCTTAATCATCCTCACCACATATAACAGTAACACTATGTGTCACCAGCTTGGTTACAATTAGGGGCTACACATGTTCTTACTTCTAGTAATGTTAATTCTGGGTATTTATAATAGGCAGTGCCTTCTCAAAGGACAAAACTTAAAGGACTAAGTTAAAGTCCAGTCTAATGTGATCTTGTCTTTTTTGTTCTGCTTTATTTTTGTCTCCTACTCTAAGGCAGTGACAAAGACAGGCGTAAATTACAGAAGCATGGCGCAACTTTCAGTGTTTGTTAACAGCCTGGCTCTTTCTTTCACAATAAGTACCCATTTCTCTGTCATTTGAAGGCAGCTCCATGGTGTTGTAAGTGGGGAGGAGTGCCTAAATGCAGCATTAGTCATAGTTTGTCTATGGAATATTTGAAGAAGAAGGTAAGAAAGAGTAAGACGAGGTGCAGGTTCAGTTCAGGTCCTGATCAACCTGACTCTGAACTGGAATGCAATGTATTGTGAGTATGAGTATATGATTTAGAGGCCCTCGCTGTCATTTGGGTTACCAATGTGCAACATGCAATCTCCATCTTCCGCTATGGAAAAACCACATCTGTATGAAGGTGCATGCTTTACATTAGCTTTGTATCCCTCATTTTCCTAAGTGTTGCCTTTATAGTGGCATTTTAAAATAGCTTCTCTCTGACAGCAAAAATAAAATCTAGTAAGGGTCAATGTGGTTTTTAACTGTTATACTGGGAAACTCTTGAAACCGTTTTTGAAGCCTAATTGTCTTTTAGGTTAGTGTCTCTGTGATTGATGTTTGGCACAAAAGTAAAGGAAAGGAAACAAATGGGATAAATAGTTGAATCCCCAATGAGAGAGGAGCAGGGCCGGAGCAGCTGGCTGGGCGGGATGGGGTAGATTAGTAATTTTTACAGGATCATTAGATGTGGTGACAGTGTGGTTTTGAATCCTCTCTATTCCTTGGCAGTAGGGTTCGTTGTTTCTAACCACATTCATGGATTTGGCCCGGCTTCCACCGTGAAGGCAAATAGGCTAAAATGAGGCCTTCTTGTTATTTCAGCTTCCGTTCACCATTGATTTAAATAATTTCAAACACATTTCTCAAATTAATCAATCATTTATGAAGCAAAAAAAGAACTACAGTTTTGCAGCTAATTGCTGTGATTTCCCTTTTGCACACACAGGACTGGAAATGTTGGAAATAACACCTGTTAGTAAGACAGTTTTGTGATAACATATGAAGGAATTACAAAATCAAAACCAAGTCAAACTGATTCTTAAGTCTTATGAGCTTATAGATTGTACAAAATAAACTGCTTCTAATCAGATTATGTTTGTATGACCTCAGGGACACATAACATCTTAAAGGTTAACAGAAATTCGTGCCATAATTTATAGGATTAATTTCCTCTTCTTGTGTACTCAGAGACTGCAGCCTACAGCTGAAAGAGATTCAGTACCTAGCTCAAGTCTCATCTGCTAACACATGGTGCTGGACCTTGGTCATCCTATGTCTTTACTCAACCTGGACATTCCTTTTAAATATGGAATCATCACAATACACCTTGTAATTTTTGTAAAGTTATAGCCTGTGGTGTTTGTCTCCATCTATTGGAGAACAAAGCTACATGGAGGATGCACCATGTTAATGTGGCTAGAAACAAATAAATATTTTCAGTTCGAACCTGAAAGAGTTAAATGTTGCTCATAATTATAATACCACAGCAAGAACCAGCATTCTTCTGCAAATATTTTGGTCTGTTTTAAATACTGCCCGGACAAAAATCACTAATGTTAGTCTAAAATTTAAATTATTTCAGTAAATACTAGATTATATTACATATTGCTAAGTTTTTTGTTGTAGTTTTTTAAGAGCTGACATCATTAATATGTGAATAAAATCCTTTAGTGTTATGAAGCGGAACAATTATTTTGAAATTTGTGGGGAAGGATTTTTAGATCGGACTCGGTTGTTGATCATAATTTTCAGGATATAAATTGCCTTGGTGAGTGTTTTCTCTATTTAATAAAGTTTTGTGGCACTACTGTACGACCGTAACAATAGATACCCATACATTCTGATATCCAATATCATTTATCATGTAGCAATGTGAGACAATGAAGGGCGAAATGTGAAAACAGTAATTTATGCGGCCTGGGCAGCTAACGTTAGCCGTGCTTTGCTAACATCATTCAGCGACATTAACGTTAGTCGTTGATAGTGAGCTAGCAAGGCGGCTAATGAGAGCAGTACAGCAACTTCCTCAACACTGACAGCTGCTTATTTATGTCGTCTTCATTACTTTGACTTTTTTGTTTGCTATAAAGCGTTGTCTTTGTCCACGCACTTCTGTTCACACCACACAAGCGCTGTTTGCATCTAGCCTTGAGAATGCTAAATAGTATCAACATTAAATGAGCTTAGTGCCTAAGCTGGTGCCAAGCCAAACAACACAACATTACGTCATTATTTGCTCTGTTTAACACTTAAGAGAAATAAACTGCAGTCTATTAAGTGGCACAACTCTCCCAGACAACAGAAGCGGTATATTCCACCAGTCAAAGGCAAGACGAGAACAGTAGTATGTTGGTTGTATAACATGGCTGTATAACGATTAAATTAGTAACTTGATTTGGAGTCTTCACATTAAACCACACATGTCAAGACTTCTTGTCTATTCCTAGATCAGGAGGCTGAGAATAATCCAGTGACATGTAAAGTCTTGACCTGCATTGTTGAAATGTTGTAGCACTTTTCTTTAGATCCCCTGTCCTCTGTCCAGTTGCCTCCTGTATTTATTTTTGCTTTGAAGAGAAGTCTGGCCTTTTTCCATACAGTTTACATCACTCTACTCTCTTTTTGTTATCTCTGTGTAATTGACTATTGTTTGTAAATCAATGTGCAGGACTGCTCTATGGCAAAATTTAGGTTTCAGAATTTTTTACTTTGTTGTGATTATGTACCTGGTAAATATGTAATTTACTTCACTACATTCCCACCTTGTTATTGTTTCCTATAAATAGTTTTAATTCAATCCCCATGACTGGGCATTGAGCCTCTAAACCTATGAGTGCTAACTAAAGTGTTTCTGAATGCCAAATATTTACTTATGGAAATATGGAAACTTTTCTAACTTCATAATATATTTTATTTAGGTAATGTGCTTTATTTAACATTGATGCATTGAGCAAGGGGAAGGGGTTAAACCATGTTCACAGTCCCTAAAATAAGACATGAAAAAAATGTTTTTAAATCAGTAGCAAAACCAAGGTATTGCATTGGCACAGGTTTGCTAATGGAGAATTATCAAATGATATCTAGTCCTAGTAAGCAGTGCTACATGTTAAATGCCTTTTTGCTTATGGTAGAATTTTCTAATTCAATAACAGCTAAAGTATGGATTTCAAACAGAGAACCACTTCCTCTAACCTTTTCCCTTTCTTCATCAGCAGGTGGAGGGATGAGTCTCTCCCCTGTGATTGGCACAGAAGTGCCAGAAACAGCAAATGGAGTTATGACACCTGTAGCGTCAGAGAACGGCCCTCGTGTTCCAGTCTCGTTGAAATGTGGGGGGAGCAGATTACCTTGTCCAGGGGAGTCATCAGAGGATGGGTCCCTCAGACATACAGAGAACCATTTAGATAGGGAAAACAGAATTTACGATGGTGAAGATCACTTAGAGATAGAGATAGACATAAATGAGAGAACGTCAGCTTTATCATTACACACGTCTTGGGTGACAGACCCGTCCCAGCCTGCCGCCACATACACAGGAGCCTCAGAATCAGGATCCATAGTCAGAGACATTCCTGAGGCCTCTAGCATTGTCGAGTCTCCAGATGCAGCACCGCTTGAAGACTCTGCACACACCAAAGATTCTTCTCAACAAAGAGGCCCTGCTGGCACAGACAGACGGCAGCTAGAGGCAGAGAATGTAGATGGAGGCACTGAAGGCCACGATGAGGCAGACGATGGAGAGAAGGAGAAACAGGATGAGGAGGAAGATGAGAAGAATAAAAGCAAGTGGAAGAATCAGTATACAGGAGGGAGAACAGAGGTGGAGGTGAGGGGTCTGTAGGATTATTTGTTTGATATTTCTGCTTAGATTTTCTGTACCTGGTAGAGTGGAGTGCATGACATTAGCTGAGCTCCCATGGCTTAACTGCCTTTACATAGACAGCACACTGACTGTGAGTGACGACAGTTTACCAAATTTGAAGTTTGGCCCAGAAGATGTCCATCAAAGAGAAAACTGTGTGAACAGCAAGAGAAATGTGTAGCTTTGGGCTTGGTTTCTTAATGAATCATCAGTGTGATTCCGAGAGCGGAAATGTAACTTCTCCTCTCTACTTCCTCTTCTTCTCTGTTCTTTGTTTCACCTCCTCATCTCTGTTTTAGTCTTCACAACATTACTCATCCTCGGCCCCTGGTCCTAGCACCTCTCCCTTTTCCTCTCCCCCACTTCCTATTCTTGCCTCAGATGATGCCCCCTGCCCTCCTCACGTCATGGCCCAGGTCTGGGTCCGCAATGTCCGGGGGATGCAGGACAGCAAGAGTCTCGATGAAATCAGCCAAGCATGTGGAGGTATTTATATGTCCAGCATATTTTGTCTTCTCCTTCCTTGCCTGAATCAATAGCATAAAGTAAAAGAAAAGTGCTGGGAACTGTAACCCCATTAAATAAGCCACTATTTTATATTCTTGTTTAGCTAATGCTGGCATATTCTTCACAGGCGGTTCAGGCGCCCGAGGAGGCGGCAGAAGTAGCCAGTCAGAGGGCCGACGGGCCACAATCTCCTCAGCTCTTGAGCTAGAGGGGACTGTCAGCCGTGATGGAGACCTGACTCACTTCATCACCAAGAACCTGGAGCAGAAGATCAAGATGAGCTCCAAGCCCAGTTTGGACTGCAGTGACTGTGAGTACTGTGTAGAAGCAAACTTTACAGGGTTTTACTTAAACAAATTAATTGTCTTCTTTTATTATCGTAATTCATAACCCAGTTGGTGGAAGTTTCACTTAACGTTTTAAAGTGAACATAAATTTACTCAAATCTTTAAATGGAAATTATTTAGACCTCCTAGGGGTGTGAGCTTGTGTTCCTGTGTTTGCATCAGAGAAAGTGTATATATATTTTTTATATACTGTATAAAAAGATAAATCACTCTCAAGAGGAAAACTGTATTTATCTTTTGGTATATCTGACATGTGCAAAAGAAATGTGTACAAACAGTCTAAATACAAATGGGTAATAAATTGAAGGTAAAGCCAACATAAAGTACTTTACTATGGTACGGATTTAAGGTAATACTTCTGTGCACAGCCAGAGACAATGTAGACTGCTCATCCATCCAATTGAGTGCCAAAGGAAAACACAGTCAGGCTTTCAGTGAGCGTCTGTCACCCTAGTTTTTGCGGTATGTCCCGCACTACTCAGAGCTTGTCAGTGGCTTTTCAGCTGATTCTGCATGTTGAATCGGTGGTAGACCCGGTCAGGTAGAGAGACCATTTTGATTGGCTGTTCATCTTACCGAATCAATGCATGAGAAAAGTGAAGTTTGGAAAAGCCCCTTGAGCCCATCTCTGTTGTAAAGACCAAGTGCAGACAATGCCAGTGCGATTTGCAACTTCTTATTAGCCATATTCTCGATTAGAAGTGGCTGTACGGTAAACCATCTGTGGTTAATGAGAGCTGCTTTATGTGCAGGTTGTATATCCGCTGTCGTAGGTCTTCCTCGTTCTCTTTTTGAATGATGAATTCAGATACTGTCATCTGCTGGCATGGATAGTTATTTCCTCTCACCGGCGCAGAACGTAGTTTGTATGATCTGTTCAGGTGGCACTTTTTGGCCCTGTAGAAGACAACTTCAGGTGACTAAACTGTCGGCCTTTATCGCCCTAGTTTTTGGATGTCGACTTGGTGTGTCTTTGCGCTAACACATCGGTCCAGAATCTCCCATAGGTGTTCAACTGGGTTGAGATATGGAGACTGTTAAGGCCACAGCATATGATTCACATCATTTTCATGCTCATCATAACATTCAGTGTTTTGCAGCCTATGAATGGAGGCATTGTCATCCTGGAAGAGACCACTCCCCTGAGGATAGAACAGTTTCATCACAGGATAAAGGTCATCACTCAATACAACTATGTGCTGATTTGCAGTGACCCTTTCCTCTAAGGGAACAAATGAACGCAAACTATGGTAGCATCTGCATTTGTTTTGTTTCTCCACTTGTTTATTCAGGCTTTTCTTTTGTTGTCACCTGTCTGTATGCAGTGATTCACAGGATGTACAAATAGAGTGCAATAATGAAGACTGCTTTATATATTTGGGGCTCAGCAGGTTGATTGTCTGTATTTTCCTCTGCAGGAGGAGGTGTCAGAAATTGCATTTCAGCAGGTTAACAGTATTTTTATGGGAGCGGTCCTGACACCGCAGTGCAGTGTGTCTGCTTTCCCCTGTAGAAGATAGCAGGCTCATCATTTATGCATAACCATAAGAAGTAATGGAGAATCGATGTGAGCCAGTTTAAGTAATTTAATTACTTGGGTCTGTTGATGTAAATTTTAACTGATGGAGACCTACATGAATCATCTACTGCCCTGCAGAGTGTCGGGTTACTCTGATCTTGGCAAAATGCACATCATTTCAGAATCATTTTCCGTCACAGTTGTCTCATTTTGTATTCACCCATTTGTACTGCTCTTCAGTATGTGTGTGTATTCTTGGATGCCTTTCTATTTAGAATATTTTTCTGTTAGCACCTTCTTGTGCAATGCACACTGACTGTGTGGTTGTAAGAGCAGGCCTCCTCTTTGTGTGGCCCCTAATATGAAGTGCTAACAGTCACTTCTGGGCTAAAGCGTCTCGTAGATCTCTCTGTACTCTCTGTTTTCTTTAAACTCTTGTCTTCTGATTGCTTCGATGTCAGTGGGTTGTATCCTGCTTTGACGCCGTTTAAATCTGGAAGGTCATTGTCTTGTTTAAACTCAATAAGCCTGAGAACCAACCTGTTCCCGAGTAGGTTTATGGTTACGGACATGTTGCCATGAAATCATCAACAAAGTTATCCATCTAACTTGTTAATCTGTGTACAAAGAACACCTTCCTGC